GGAACAGAATTTTATAAAGTTTTAAATAATTGCAGTAATCAGAATTATCAGGTCCTAGACAAATGTCAGCAGGAGCCCTATATAATGTTAGCTCGGCAAATGTGCCCATGGATGTGCGCGACTTGTTGCATGACTAAGGAATATAACTGTGAAAATGGTAAAGTTTCAATAAATTTATTATTTTAAAATATTTGATAATATCTATTCATTTAATATTTATATAAACTTATGTAAAATAGTCTAATAAATTTATACTTATTAAAAATACATTTTTTAAAAATTCCCTTTTATTTCGCTTCAATCCATTAAATAGTTCATCAAAATTTAAAACTAATTCATTACCACTTAGTATTTTTTTTGCATTTATATTTTGCTACACCGGAAATTGTTATCGTGGAAGCTACGGTCATAAAAGGTGTAAAGATTATTAAAATATTTGACTTGACTAAGGAATCGTTTAAAAAAATATCAATGATTTCAAAAAAAAAATTTTGAATTAGAATTAGAATTTTGTTCTAAGCGAACATTACGAAACTCAATTTGCACAAATAATCCTCTTTTTATATTTTTATATTATAAAACAAAATAATGCCATTTAAAAAAATGCTTATTGTATAATGACGAGGAAGAGAGGAAGATTTGTGTTGTGTCCTCCATTAATCTCAATTTCAGTTGGAGGTCGGGACGGTGCATGCAGAAATTTTTCGAGGGCAATGTGCAGTCAATTTCCAAGCATTGCATTACGACTTTGCCCGCAAACTTGTGGCCTTTGTCATTTACCTGGTGCTGCAAACATGTGTCCCGACACCATCGACGGCTGCGATGTTTTGGTGGGATTGGGTATTTGTTTTGACAATCGATTCAAGAATTTGTGCCAGAGGTCATGCTTCTCACGAGACTGCCTTACAAATCAAACAAGTGGGTTACTAATTACTATCGATTTTAATAGGTCAAAAAAGGCGTTGGTAGGTTAATCGATATTAATCGATATTACGAATGTCACTGTATAACGTATTATAATCTAAGAATAATTTGCATATTTCATGGTCGCGCATGTGATAAGTTCCTCGCAATAATCGAATAATCGGGCCTTAGGGGAATCACTAAATCTTCCACTCCCATAATTATGTGAAAATTGTTAGAACAGTTCTATTTATTGCAGCATCGCAGGGAAGCTGCCGTGACGACCATACCGACTGTCCAAGGTACCGCAATCTTTGCAGTGTTGGCGATTATGGAGTTGTTATGCGCGTTAAATGCCGGTTGACTTGTGGTTTGTGTCGATAGACTGGAAGAAAGATTTTTTTTTCCTTCGAATGAATGTTTTAGGTTGAAGTCCCATGCTTTATTTTGTTGCATTATATTTCCTTTCTTTATTTAATAATTTCCTTTCTCTGAGACCAATAATTTCCTTCTGTTATGTTAAATATAACCAAAAATAAATTATGCAGAATTTTGCATTATTAATGGAATTTATTGGTTATAAACAGCATTTATATTTGCCTTAGGCGAAAAACAGAAATTGCGGCATCGAAAAACTAATAAAAAGCGAAGTTTATGGATAATTTATAAAAAAATTGGATTAGAAAATTTATTTAAATTTTCAAATTTGTGCTTTTTAAGTCAAAAGTTTTAAAAAAAAACCCATTAAGTCCGAATTCTCACTTCAGAACCATCGGATTTGCTTGTTTGCCACAGTTATCCAATATAATGTAAAAGCCAAACCCAGCGATTTGTCGGCGATAGATTGTCGTGTTTTTCGTGATGCTTTAATCTCTCAAATATTGGTGAATATAGTTCCCATAAGGATTAAATGGGCAAATATGCATGAGAGCGAAAGGAAACCACCCTTCTCATCTCAGAGTGAAGCACAGAAGTTAAATTTTACTTTATGCTAAGATAGACTCATATAAAGTTTTAGCCTAAATGATAACTGATTAATACGGTAGAGATTTGGATGGAGCCAGTGAAAAATTAATGCACTCATTAATGCATTTATATAGGGAAAATAAAAAGAGCAAATAAAGGGAAAATGAGTGGGGAAAAAGAGAAAGGGAAAATCGGATTAATAAGAAAGCTGCTTTTAAAAATAAAGAGCCCAGTCGTTGTCGTGCCGAGCCATCAAACCTTCTCAATTGATTAAAATGCAGTTGGTGAGAATTGCCATGGAGGTGAAAATGGCATTTCTCGAATTTCTAATATTTTATCACTTATCAATTATCATCCGCAGTTTCTTTCAGATTTTAAAATCGTTATTTTTTTCACGCTATGCACTATTTTCACTTTTGGTGCTTTGAATAAATGCACCATTCAATTGTAATTTATACAAATAAAAATGCAACAAATAAAATTTTTCCGGTGAACCAATTCGACAACCAACATCGTTTATGAATAAACTTCATTAAAGGAAATGATTATCAAACACGAATGTATTTGTTTAAGTTTTATGACGTTAGTAAATTGCGTTGAATTACAAAGATTATATCTTTGATAATTTCGTGTATCATTTTCAATTTTTACAAAGGAAAAAAAGGAAGGAAACATGAACTCCTTGGAGTATTGTTCCTGTTCATGTTTAGGATTTATTTCTACTATTTCCATTCTATTGATTTCCATTCACAGTTATTCTCCGATTTTAGATCAGAATTTTCATTACTTTACAAGCGAAAAAATCATTTTTCAAAATATACTGTTTCCTTAAGGAATTATAAGAAATTAAAAGCGCACTAAATTAAATTTTAAATGGAATTTTCCATTGTCGGATAATTATTATCATTATTTGCTGCGTATCAATCGACCAGAACTGAATATACGGGGAAAAATTTTCGAAAAATATTTCACCAGCTGTCGACTTCACTAATAATTCATTTTTTTGGCTTACTGTAATAAGAAAAACAAATAAGAATTGACTATAAAGAGCAAAATTTGTAGGGCAGAAATTATTTTACCTGACCATGACCATGATCGCTCATTTAATTATTCTTATATCGTTCTGCAATCTTGTTAACGGAGATGAAGTTGATTTAGGCGTTTGTGTTAAGCTTCTTCCCACTGGTCAAAATCCTCCCAATAATATTAAGCGAAGACCTTCCGTGCCTGTTGAGAATTGCCAAGATCGTGACATGGCTTGTCCCGAGATATTCAAGTTCGAGCAAAACGTTGGAATGAGGCTCGCAAATAATCTCAAGCCGTTAGTTTCTGAACTTTTTGATTTATGGATATACAATGATGAATTCATATTTTCTTTATTAGTAGAACCATCGGTGGATAGTTTGCTGAATTTTCATTATTGTTGGAGGTTTAAAAAATTGATTGGAAAATTGGCTTATTAATCTAATTGATCCTAATGGTGTATAAAATGTTTTTCAGAATTCTTTTGTATTAACTCTTCAAATTTTTCATATTTTCTTATCACTATGAAAAAAAGAGAGAATGACAATGCCTTTCAGCGATCAGGATTATAAAGTTCCAGAGAACTGTCAGAAGGACCAATATAAAATGTTAGCTCGACAAATATGCCCACGAACATGCGCGACGTGTTGCTTAACTAAAGAATACAACTGCCAAAATAGTAAGGGCTGAGCAATTCTTATTGCTGCAATCCAAGTTTAATACTACAATAATAATAATCAAACTAAAAATTATCGATTTCAGTTGGAGGTGAGGATGGTCCATGCAGAAATTTTTCAAGAGCAATGTGCAGTCAATTCCGAAATATTGCATTACAGCTTTGCCCGCAGACTTGCGGCCTTTGTCATTTACCTGGTGCTGCAAACATGTGTCCTGACACTATCGACGGTTGCGATGTTTTGGTGGGGTTGGGTATTTGTTTTGACAATCGATTCAAGAATTTGTGCCAGAGGTCGTGCTTCTCACGAGATTGTCTTACAAATCAAACAAGTGGGTCACCAATTATTATCGATTTTCATAGGCCAAAAAAGGCGTTGGTACCTGTTAGTATAATCGATATTACGAATGTCACTGTATAACGTATTATAATAATTCACATATTTCATGGTTGCGTATGTTTTTTTCATAGTTCAAATTTCTCTTAAAATATGACGTAAAAATGGATGGTGCAAACGGTAAGCTGTGCAAAGAAAATTTTAAAACAGTATTCAACATATGCGATTTTTCTTCACCCCATTATTATGGCGATTTCAGCGATTCTGACATTTCACTTTCAAAGATAAGTTCCTCGCAATTGAAAGCAGTTATCGAATAATTGAGCCTTCGGAGAATCATAAATCTTCCACTCCTATAATTATGTGAAATTATTAGAACGCTTCTATTTATTGCAGTATCGCGGGGAAGCTGTCGTGACGACCATACCGACTGTCCAAGGCACCGCAATCTCTGCAATGTTGGCGATTATGGAGTTGTCATGCGCGTTAAATGCCGGTTGACTTGTGGTTTGTGCTAATAGACTGTAAGAAATGTTTTTTCTGTCCTTTGAACAAACGTTTCATGTTGAAAAATGAAGGACTTATGGAATTAATTTCTCAAAATGCAATTCTCCAATTTTTATTTCCAGTCGATTCTCTTATTTTTAATAATTAAAGAACAACGACCGCAGTAACAGAGTTGAAGTTAAAAGACTGTCGTTAATCGCAACCAAAGTTATATTCACTTATTTCATTGAAGCAAATAATTATTTAATTATTCTTATAAATATTGTTATTATTAATTATTGTTATTTTGCTACATTTTTATGTGAATAATGGCTTGAGAGGTGAAAACGATTTCCTGAAAAACTTTAATATTTTTTGCCAAAATAATTGCGTTGTTTATTCGAATTTACGACTTGGCAAACCAAAGCCAATCCAGAAAAATCACTCACTCACCATTATAGGTAGCAACCGAAAGAAAGAGAGCTTAGCCGAGAATTTGTATAGACATAATCAGAAAAAAAAATTTAGACTCAGTTAGCGACATAGGCTCAGATAGCGGAAAAAAAAGCAACTACAAATATTTTCAGATATGATTTCGGATGGAAGTTTTAAAAAAATTCAAAAAAATAAAGCCAGCGAAGTAAAGAAAAACTATTAGAGAATGATATATCTTAGATAACATAAAATTAAAAATTTTTGGAAAGTTATCACATTTTAAACTGAATGAAACGTCTCGGTGATATAAATACCAAAAACACCACTCAAATAACTGATGAGAATTGCTCCCATAATAATCAAATATGCAACTATGAAATGAACATAAGAGTTTAAGAGACATAAGAATTTTATTTCATTTTAGCTGAGTTTTATTATATAATCAGATAAAATAATATGAAATTTCAGACGAATACCATAAATACCAACTGATTATTGATAAATGTGGTAGATTATCGATGGTACCATTGAAAAATTCTTGTCACTGAATGTAACCATCGATTAGTGCACTAATATTAAGAAAATAAAAAGAGCAAAAATAAAAATAGATAGAGATAGGACTAACAATTTTGAAAACGAATGAATGAAGAATGAATGAATGAATTTTCTTAATNTGTCAAATGTTTTTTAACAAATCGAACTATCTCTCGTATATTCATTAAAAACTCAAAGGTAGCGCGGTAAAAACCAGAAGATTAATGACATTAATGAAAAGGCAGAAGCGAAAAAAAAAGTTGGTGCGAAGAATTGTTGAAATTTATTTGGTGACTAATATGTCATCAAAAACTAAAAATTATCGATTTCAGTTGGAGGTGAGGATGGTCCATGCAGAAATTTTTCAAGAGCAATGTGCAGTCAATTCCCAAATATTGCATTACAGCTTTGCCCGCAGACTTGCGGCCTTTGTCATTTACCTGGTGCTGCAAACATGTGTCCTGACACTATCGACGGTTGCGATGTTTTGGTGGGGTTGGGTATTTGTTTTGACAATCGATTCAAGAATTTGTGCCAGAGGTCGTGCTTCTCACGAGATTGTCTTACAAATCAAACAAGTGGGTCACCAATTATTATCGATTTTCATAGGCCAAAAAAGGCGTTGGTACCTGTTAGTATAATCGATATTACGAATGTCACCGTATAACGTATTATAATAATTCACATATTTCATGGTTGCGTATGTTTTTTTCATAGTTCAAATTTCTCTTAAAATATGACGTAAAAATGGATGGTGCAAACGGTAAGCTGTGCAAAGAAAATTTTAAAACAATATTCAACATATGCGATTTTTCTTCACCCATTATTATGGCGATTTCAGCGATTCTGACATTTCACTTTCAAAGATAAGTTCCTCGCAATTGAACGCAGTAATCGAATAATTGGGCCTTAGGAGAATCACTAAATCTTCCACTCCTATAATTATGTGAAAATTGTTAGAACGCTTCTATTTATTGCAGTATCGCGGGGAAGCTGTCGTGACGACCATACCGACTGTCCAAGGTACCGAAATCTCTGCAATTTTGGCGATTATGGAGTTGTTATGCGCGTTAAATGCCGGTTGACTTGTGGTTTGTGTCGGTGATCGGAAGAAATACTTTTTTTCTGTCCTTTGGATAAACATTTTGTGCTGAAAGGTGAAGGACTCAACTTATTTAATGCAAATCTGTCATTCTTATTAATTTTCAGCCGATTGTCTTATCTTATTTTTATTAATTATTCTTATAAATTATTGTTATTTTGCTATTTTATTTTTATCCATCCAAAACGATCAATTCATAAAGACTCATTTTTCATATAGAATTTTTTCCTTCTCAAACTACGGGAGGAAAATAAATAAATAAATCAAGATCTTTATCAACACAATCTACGTTAGCAGATCGATATAATGATAAGCAGTGGAGCATAATGAAGCGATCATGCTCACCACTCAAACAACTTGTCGCCGACCTATAATTTTTTGTTATCAGCTTGTTTTTGCATAATACATTTAATAATAAATGATGTTTATTTTCCTCCACTTGAAAATTAGCTATTTAAATACTATTTAAATTATCAGCTATTTAAGTTTTTTGGAAAAAATTTTTGACAGCTCAGCTCAACAGCACTTATATAAAAAAAGATTAAATGAAAAGGACAAAAAATTTTCCAAATTATATAATTTTCATAGCAGAAATTCATGGAAAGATGTTGTTATGTGAAATATCAATAAATTATAGTATGGAGAAATCGGATAATTTTTGCTCGATTTACATAACTAATAATGGATTCACTACGGTAAACCAGAATTTAAAGGAATTCCAGTTTCTTATCAGGATACATATCATATATAATACAATATAAGCAAACACAAGCAATACAAATAGAATACATAGTTTCACCATAACCACAAGCTTTTGCGAAATACTCGTCATCACTGTTGTTCGAAATACACTTGTTTTAAGCAGTGAAATAGTTGGAAAAATTGAAAGTTAAATATAAAAATATAAAAATTAAACATATCGATTTATAATTATTAACGATTATTAAACGAAATGATTTTTGTAATTTGCGATAAATTTTTTTAAAATCGTAAAATCAACAAATCATTGTATTCTTTCATTGATTTATAGCCTCACTGATCTAAATTATATTTCTATTTTGCGGATAACTCATTAAATCAATTAATCTTTTCATAATAACTAATATTCATTATTTTTCTAAAACTATTTCAATGTGTAATGAATTGAATCGATTACGACGGACGAGAATTTGAGGCAATTTTAATTCATATTATTGTTAATAAAATATGAACATAACCGTTCGGATTATTCATTTCATAATTTTGAGAAAATGTAAATTTTCATAATAATTTTCATATATTTGAAAAATTAGAAGACTTTGGTTTCGTATCAAACATGCAAATTGCAGATTTAATAAAATAATTGCTGAAAAAAGTATTCGGGATAGTTGCTAATTATCATATTTTCAGCTTAAATTAAAATTTTTTAAGAAATTTTTGCATATAATTATAAATTAAAAATTTTTGCTTTCATATTTTCAGTTTATTTTCGTTCTCATTTTTCGGTTTTTTTTAAAATCCATTTGTCTGTGCTTAAGTTAAATGAAATCAAAGTTGGCTCAATAGACTGGCTGATTCTCGGTTCTCGGTTCAGAATAATTTAGCCTGGTAAGCCCAGCGAGTCGAAGCTGTGTTAATTAGAAATTTTATGTGTTTTTAGATAAAAGGGCACTTGCAAATTTGGTATTCGTATAATATTAATTCATTAAATGGAAGAATGATTTCCCCATTATAATTACTCTTTAAGCCTATTGCGGTCCTTAAAAGTCAAAGTTCACACCGTTTAATGAATAATGCCACAGGCGATTTTAGAAAGGTAATTCATAGCATTTCAACTTGGTCTCACACGAATAGATTTGAAGAATTTAAAAAAAAAGGGATTTTTAGAATA